GCATGGCTCCTGGCGGAGAATGCGACTTCCCAATCCGGTGGTTGTTGCGACAGCAAACAAGTGTGGGCAAAGTCACAGCAGCACCCTGCAGCATTGCGAGCGCCAAAACCCTTATTAAAACACCCGACTCTAATTCTTCAGGCCCTACGTTAGGATATAGTAACCCTCACTATATAGTATCCTTTGAAGGGAACATCCGTCAAATTCGTCAGGCCCCCCTAACCCCAAAGCCTAAACCCTCCTAGTTAAACCCTAGTTAAACCCTTAGACCTTTAACCCTAAACCCTAAACCCTTCAAACCCTAAACCGTGAACCCCTGAACCCTAAACCCCTATAGTAGCCCTTATAGAACCCTTTAAGGAGCCCTTTAAAGGAGCCCCTGAACCGTCGTCTCCCCCGTCTCCTTGGAAGGCCTCGAGCTCGGGGCCCAGAAGTCGCTTCTCGCGCCCGGGAGCGCGCTGAGGAGGCCTCTTCGGATTTCCTTAGAGGCTTAGGGGGCTCTAGAATTCGAGGGGTTCCAGAAGTAAAAAGGTTCTCTTCGGATTTCCTTAGAAGGCTTAAGGGGGTTCTAGGGGTTTAGGGTTCTCTTCGGATTTCTTTAGAGGGCTCTGGGGTTCTAGGGGTTCTAGAATTCATTAGAATTCTAGAAGTTCTGTATATAAGCCTTCGGGTTTCCTTTGAGGGCTTTGGGGGTTCTAGGGGTTCCTTAGTGTAGGGTTCCTTCGCCGTATGATTTCTGTATGCCTCTTCGGATTTCCTTAAAGGCTTTAGGGGTTCTAGGGGTTCTAGAAGGTAGGGTTTAGGGTTTAGAACCCTAAAAGGTTCTCTTCGGATTTCCTTACTAGAAGGTAGGGTTTAGGGTTTCTCTGGACCCGAAAGAACCTACTTCTTCTAGGGTTCCTTAGTGATTTCTGTATATAAGCCTTCGGATTTCCTTAGAGGCTTAGGGGTTCTAGAAGGTAGGGTTTAGGGTTTATCTGGACCCTAAAGAACCTACTTAGTTCTAGGGGTTCTAGAAGGTAGGGTTTGGGTTTAGAACCCCTAGAGTTTAGGGTTTAGTGTTTTTAACACCCTCAAGTTTGGGGTTTACGGATTAGAACCCTAGACCCGATTCTAGAAGTGTTCGAGAGGTTTTGGGGGTTTAGCGATGCGGTAGCCGTCGAGTCACTCGTGAAAGAAAGGTTCTACCTGGGCTCAAAAGGGTGTAGGGCTAGGGCTAAGGGTTCTACCTATAGTCTCCATCGTACTCCCTTTTCTGGGGTACGTTATAGGATCCTAAATATATACTACAGAGTTAGTTAAGCCAAAAAATGGAACTACAATGGAGACTATAGGTATAAGGGGTCTAGCGGGATTCTTAGGCTTTGGGCTTGGGTTTTGGGATGCGTGTTTAAAACAGGGGCCTCAGTTTGCCAATGCCCAGCATGGGGTATTGGGAAATAAGACCGGGCACAGAATTCTGGATACCGTATCGAGTAATCATACGGAGATATTGTCATGATCAAACCGACATACCGGCCCCTAAGAGTGTTGTATATCGGTTCTATAGACGTTCCTTCAAAGAGTTCCTTACAGCTCCCACAAGGTTGAGCCCTTGGAGGGACGAGGTTGTTTGGGTTTTATAGTTTGGGTGATTCACGGTCCTAGAGATTTAGGGGTTCCGGGATGGGGGTTGTGCTGGGCATTTTGCCAGAGCTTTGTGTGTGCTTGTTTTGGTGTTCTACAGGGTTTGTCAGGGTGTCGGTTTTCCATGAATTTACTTGGCTGCAAGTCACCTGGGCTCACGAGGCCCGACCAACTTAGCGTCATTCTGAGTCCTTGAATTTTGGGGAACTCCGCAACCCTAAACCCTCAATCCGAAAGCACAGCATCCTGAGTCGACCGTGAACTATACCACAGCTGCCCAACAAAGGATGATCCCCGGGCCCAAGGTCCTTTTGTGAACTACAGGTTCTCCATCAACCCGGGACATGAAACCCTAAAGCCCCAAACCCTATCAAACCCTATAATTTTGAAACCCTAAACTCGATATAAGTCTAATTGGCTCCAAAGCCTGACGCCCACGACGTTAACCCTGAAAGCGTAAACCCCAAACCCTGAACGCTAAACCCTGAACCCTAAACCCTGAAAGCGTAAACCCTGAACCCTATTTTTCGCTTCACCCAAATGCAGAGCCGAAAACCTTTGCCCAGTGGCGCTCCCTGTCGGAGTGCGACTGTATGGCAAATCCAAATCCAATCGCGTAGTATAAGGGCCTAAATAATTAATTACCTATACTATTTTGGGGGGTCCTTATGATCACTTATTATAATTATAGTATAATGGGCCCAAAATTAAAACCTTATTCGAACTATTAAGGCCCCTATATTCAACCAACCCTTGGCCAGGTACAGCGCTGGGAAAGGCAGCACGAGTCACACAACCAGCGCAGTCCTCGTCGATCTGCCGGGTTCAGGGCACAGCGGAAACCCTAAACTAAACGATCAACCCCAAGGCCGTACGCATAGGCCTCATAGTAGTTCCTTTTTGTGGCTTCTATTTAGGATTCCCATTGGGGAATCCCAAAAGGGAACTACTATGGGGCCTCTGGGTAAACCCCAGAGATTAAAGTCGAACTTGATACGCAGAGCCCTACAAAACTCGATTCTGAAGTGCTGAACCCAAAGGGTCCAAGTAGTAATATGGTAGCTACTTTGTAGGTATTTGGGCCCCCAAAGTATATACTATGCTGTAACTTGGACCCTTTGGGGAACTGAGCCGGACACCCCTTGGATCCGGATTCTTTGGCTCTCTGGTACCGCAGAGCATCCCAGCGACCTTGCAAATCCCTCGAGGAATAAAGGTTCCTGCCTAAACCCTAAATTAGGGGTTTAGGGTTTAGGGTTTAGGGCCCTAAACCCTAGGTGGATGGAGGCTTCCCTTGTTTTCACCCCGACTGCGTCCAATAGATCTCGCCTGGCTTGTCCGAGTTGTGAGAGTGCAAACGCTGGAAGTATGTAGGAGATTTCTGGAATTTTGTCAGGGAACTTAATTGACAAGGGTTTAGGTGTTTTACCAGAAGAAGGAAACCATGTTATTTACTCTAGATCCCGATTGTGGTACAGATTTTGAATATGGGAAGCTCCATGAAACGATGCTGAAGTCTTGAGATTCTTCAACACCACATGCGAATAGCGTATTCTGCTGTCAGTCAGAGTAGAAGTCTCGTTCCGCTCAGTGTGGCTGAACTAGTGAAGCCTACACCCTAAGGTAACTGCATGACGAGAGTTTCTACCCCTCCGAAAAGAACATGCAAGCAGTGGGATCAGTATAGTTGTCCCATATCCCGAAAGTTCTGCAAAGTGCAGCGAAGCCTCCGAGGACTGCATGGAACCCCAAACGAGGGGTCATAAATTCACGTGAGGCAGTACATCTTCGGATCGCCACGGGGGTTCTGAGAATCGGCGACATCAAGCCCATCTGCAGGCTGGGTCAGTTGCGAAAGTGGCGGACCCTAATGATCGGGTGGGGGGTTTTGGGACATGGTATTATTCTAAAGTTTTCATGAGGAACCTTAGGCAATACTATTACTAATTCTTCAGAACCCTACACCCTAAAGTAAACCCTGAACCCTAACCCGAAAATATTTTAGCTGCCACATTAAATCCTCAACCACCAGCGAGCCTCAAGGTGGGCCTCAAGTCCCCAAGTACTACAGGAGCCTTCATGCTTAGCTATACTGCTTTGGGGGTTGAGTGTTTCGGGTTTAGCATTATAATATACCCCCCCAAACCCTAAACCCTAAACCCTTATAGTAGCCCTTATAGAACCCTTCAAGGAACCCTTTACAGGAACTCCCCCAAAAACCCTCTTCTAATTCTTGAGTCCCCTACACTACATGGCCTCGGCCGACCTGGCGATTTTGAGCGAAGTTTGAATCTACGCTTGCCTTCATGCTAGGTAGTAAGTCGATATCTAATCTAATGTATTAAAATATAGTACAAAAATATCATAGTAAAAAACAGCGCAGTAAAATTTAGTACAAGATCGCATAATATAGTACAACGCAGTAAAATAGATCCCTGGTAAACCGTAGCTGAACAGAACCTAAACACTGACCCAAACCGGATCCAGGAAATTTGGGGTTTGGGGTTTAGGGTTTAGTGCTTCAGGATCGCAGTTTGGCGGCCTTTAAGACTTTAAGAAGCCTGGTAACCCTAACACCCGGTCTCACTCGTTCGCATACCCATCCCAGTCTGCAAGGCAGATGTCTCATCAGACCTGCCGTCGGCTCATGCCAAAGGCATCGAAAGGGCTTTTACAGTGTATGGCTCGGGGCTTCAGCAAAAGCCTTTGACACACCAACCCCAGGTAAGTCCTCAGAACAGGTTGGCCCCCAACCCAAAGTGCAAAAACGCAAGTATTAATAGTCTAAATCATGACAGCATGGATCCCAAAAAGCGCAAGGATACCTAGCTAGTGGTCCAAGCCAAAGACACCCAAGCGCGTTCGTTGCAGCAGTATATAGTACATGTACATATACTATACACACGTGTGGCCACGAGTCCAACTCGCGCAGTAGGGGAGGACGAGGGACCCACCAGGAAACGCACGGCACAGTGGTCACGACGTGTTTGTCAACTTCGGGTTGGATGCTTCCAAACCCAAAGGGTCCAAGTAGTAATACTGTTGATGGACAAAATCCTGCATGACCTTAAGGACCTTAAACTATGGGAATTATGGTATATTCCTTACAGTGGGTAATGCAGGATTTTGTCCATCAACAGTATGGTAGCTACTTTGTAGGTATTTGGCCCCCAAAGTATATACTGTACTATAACTTGGACCCTTTGGGTAAGCGCTGGAAGCCAAACGGAAGAACCGTACTGCATACTCATAATTACAGCAGCAGAAGCCTCTGTAAACACACTGTTCGGAAATCCTATATACATACAGAAATATACCTATAAATATGTGTATATATATATATATACAGTTTCCACACTGGTAACAATGCTAGTAACAGTTCGAATATTCATCATAATGATAATCATAATCACAATCGTCACCATCATCGTCATCATGGTTTGTATTGTTACTATGACAGTAATTGCTATAGCACAACAAATACTTAAACAAAAGATGCTTATCAGTACTACTATCATTGTCACATGAAAACAGCAACAGTAACAGCAACATGTGCAAACACCGGCTAGAGTCATCAAAATGTGTGGCGGCATATGATAGCTATAGCGACAATACAAATTATACCAGCCTCGACCCCAAACAGCAAGTGGGAGACAAATGGGAGACAAGTGGGAGACGAATGGGAGACAAGTGGGAGACAAATGAGTAGCGGTTTGTAGAGTAGTGCCGTGAGAAATCCAAATGAGCGTTNNAGAATCCTTTTCTATTAAGCAAATCAAGAACCCCTCAGCTACAGCTGTTTGGGGAACAACAAGACTACTGGTAGCAATTAGTAACAATACGTTACCTAACGCAAAGGCCTAAATAACTACCTATGCTATGTTGGGGGTTTCTTGTTACAATTAGAGTATAATGGGCCCCAAGACATCAAGGCTCCTACATTACTGTTCCTGTAACATGGAAAGCCGAAAGCCCTGAGCCTGAGCTTCGGAGACACGATCATGGCAATATAGGGGCCGTAATTATCATACCTATACCACTTGGGGGGTCCTTATTGTAGTTACAGGTTCGTGTACCCCAAAACCCTATTCTAATTATGAAGGCCCCTATATTAGCAGCTCCAGTGGGTGGCTTCACTTCGTCTCTGGCAGCGAAAACTCGGCTGCCAGGACACGTGGAGGCAGAGAAAGCATGCCAAAGGCAAGGGCAAGACAGCAGGCTCCAGGCTTTATCACGTGGGCCGCAAGAACGATCACTATACTTCCTTTGGGTTCCTGATGATAGCTGTAGTAAAATGTGCTCCAAACTGTTGTAGTCCTAGGTTTAGAGCCAGTTTTTCAAGTGAAGGGTACTATAAAAAAGTGCCACCATTGTTCTCAGGGTTCCTCATTGTTTAGCGAGATCCCTCAACCGGTTTGGTGGTTTGGGGCTTCGGGGGATGTTCAGGGTTCTGACACCTGGTTTCAGGGTTGGGGGGTTTGCAAGTTTTCATATGACCCAAGCGTGTTCGGGTTTGAACACACACACACACAGACACAGACACACCCCAGACTCAGACAAGCTTAGCATCCTAAATCCCAAACTCTGAGCACCGGGTCGGCATAGCAGAAACACTGAGCAAACCCAGCTTTTGGAGCATTCGGGCCGAGTATCCTTCGAAGCGACTTATGCCACCCTCGAACCCTAAGCCCTTGAAGTGCCATGTCATGAAAACGCCCCCGAAGCTGAAAGCCTCTGCACCACAGGCGTGGAACATATGTGTATTTACATGAACATACCTCGCAGATGTTTAAAACGTTCATATACACATAGTTATGCATATATTTACATGTATGGGTACACACTCGTAGAAGTGTGCTTATATATATATATATAAAAATCTCACTTTATCAAAATGTACGAATGACTACATAAATCAGCACACATGCATACATACATATACATATACATACAGACATACATACATACAGACAGACATACATACATACATACAAACGTACGTACACATAAGCAAACACACCAAGCCCGAACCAGACCCTGCACTCTATGCCGCCTGACTCCAGATTTGTATTATACGTACATAACTTGGAACCCTATATACCATATTATGGCAGTTCGGGCTTTAGTCACATGCGTGATGTTTTCTGTTTGGAGCTTCCTCTACGGCTCACGGATCCAAGTAAGAATCACAAACTCCCCAACATATGTACCTAGAGCCACTACTAATCAAAAGCAAGTAACATCGCAAACCCTGACAAGTCGATGCGCGATATTTATGCAGTTCTAGCGCAAACTACCCCGAAAACTAACCTTATTTTGAATTTTGAATCTCCCGCATCAAGACCCCTAGAGCCCGCTAAAACAGGCATAGTAGAGCCCCTGTGTGCCTTGGAACCCCTAAATCACCCAGTAACTCTGAGTACTTTGGGGTCGGCAAAGTTCGATTTTCCGGGGTATGCGGTGGCTGGGAGGAGCTGGCATTCAGGTTCTTCTGGGTTTCAAGCCTGTCATGCTTTCCGTTGGTGCAGTGGAAGGGCTCACAGTCGGGGTATAAGGAGAAAAAGTGTGGGAGACAGGGGATTCCTTGTTTTTTGGTTTCTGGATTAGGGTTCGTTGATATGTCCTGCATGTCTTGTCAGATGCTGACTGCCAGCTGGCGGTTGTCAGAATCGGAAAAGCTGGCAGGGTATGACCCTATAGGTATTTTGTCGTGTTGGGCACTTCTTCACAAAGCACCGCCCCCCCATGCATCAGGCCGGTCTCCAAGCAGGTTAAGTCCGACGACAAGTCCTAGACCCTCCATGTACCCTCTATTAGACTCTAAGTACCCATTATTTGGGACCATATCGCACGATTTGAGGGTACAAGGAGGGTCATGGGTAGATGTTCCTTCACGAGGGTTTAGAGTTCAGGGACGCGCGATTCCGACAGCCGCCATTTTGCGTTGCCCTCGCGACACGAGCGCCTTTGTATCGACTTTCTGGGTGTATCGTTGTACCATTGGCCCGAACTCGGAAGGCACAAATCACAAAAGAACCGGTGATCCCTATGATTTCCCCAAGAACCCTACGCCCGATAAAGAAAAACAAAAAGCCCTGTAAGTTGCAGGCCTGCATAAGCCCGAAAACCCAAGCAGCGTGCTATGGGATCTAGGCTCTCACAAGTGGTTCTTTTTTTGTTTCATGGTTTCCTCCTTCCCGGGATAAAGCTATCCAAAGATTCGTGTTGCAGTGGAGGCTTTGGGTAGGTTTCCGGATGTGGGATGGAGGCTTGGGGACCTAACTAGCGTCCCAGACGTCATATAGGGGCCGTAATATTTTGAATAGGGTTTTGGGGGTGTATTATACTATATATAATATATATATATATAAATATAAAATAATAATCATCGTAATCATAATAACTGTTATTATAAGCAACCCCCAAAGATCCTATTCTAATCATTAAGGCCCCTACATTCCCGCGGCTCTCCGAAGACTTGGGACCCAAACAGCCGTCAACGGGCAAGACGCAAGCACCCTGAAGGGTTTAGGGTTTAGGGTTTAGGGGCGTAAGAAAACGCAACTCCTAGAGCCTGACACCCAAGAAAGCCGAGTTAAACCCTACCCATAGGCCCCATAGCAGTTCCTGTTTGGGATTCCCTACTAGGATCCTAAGTATAAGCCACAAAGAGGAACTACGGCGTATAGGTAAACCCTAAACTCGAGGCTTAAGGGTTTTTTGTTTTGCGAACTCTGAACCGCAACCTAACCCGAGGCCCATAAGCCCGCGAAACCCCCGAACCCTAGACTCATAAAGGACTTGCAGGGCC